CCAGCTGCGAGTCGGGAGACGTAGTTGCCGGTGAAAACCAAGCCGACAGCGGGCGATGGCGGCGTTCCACGTCGTTACCTTGATGAAGGCATCGTCATGTGACTTCCGTCGACCCACTCGTATTGCTCCGGGGGAAACCCTAGGATCTGGTGTTCTAGACCGGACGATGGCGGCACTGCGGTGTCGTTTCTCTCTTAGGAGCGTCGTTTTGTGGACCAGCGCTGGAAGTCAGAGGCGGGAGGTGGAGCGGCTTTGTCTTGCATGGAGCTTCGATGGAGATGTCAAGTCATGCCTGACCGACAGGTGCTACGCTTGGTCATGCCTGGTCCGCAGGTGCTACGCACGACAGATCCTCCAAGGGCTTCAAGTTGTGTCGGCTGGTGGTACGTGGCAGCACGGCGCTGAGGTGTATCAATGGCGACCGCGACATGTACAGCTGTTTGCGCGCAGGGAGGAGGTGCCGTTGGACGCCATGGTGGCGTCGACGATAGCTGGACCGAGCAAGGTTGATGCATCAGTACAGTTCTGAAGATGGAGCGGTGGCAGTTGGCGGCGACGGCCTTTGAGAGCACGCCGGACCAGTCTGTGCCCCAGACTCGGCAATTGGCTAGGTTGGGGTCTCAGGTATTAGATGTTAGGCTTGGCTGCGATGTCTGTTTGGTATTAGGCTCAGGCTATCTGCGCCCCTTCATCAACTGGATAGGTGTAACGACAGGTCGTTGCTTAGACGGCGGCTTTAATCTTACTATTGTATGACTTTGTAAGATCTTGTAAAAATAATTAATAAAGTGGCCGTATGCATCGCCCAGATGCAGAGGCCGGGGTCATCCTCATTTTTTTTTTTAAATTCTGGCACCTTTCCGTTTCCCGCCGGTCAAAATCCTCTAACCGTGGACGATACCCCGCCATCCCATCCCACCGTTCGTCCTCTGCTGTGTGGCTGGAAAATCTCTGCTTTTGTTGAAGTTTTCAAACATGTTCTCGTGGGTTTACCTATTTGATGGGCTTGAGGAGGGACCGGTAAATGTGGTTACCACGGCACTACCATAACCAAGGAGTAAACATCACCTGTTTCTGTAACAGCACAAGTATGGAATTTACCACAAAGCCATTATTTCAACATTGCAGGTTGACAATGACTCGAGTAGATGTGGTTGAAAAATGCTTGTGCCAGCCCCAGGACCAAGCCGCCCACTGCATTCTTCTCCCCATGTAAATACCTCTTCTGCCTTGTAATAAGTGCAGCATGCTTCACACCACAAGCCAGATAACTGACATCAAGCATTACATTTGACTTTAGAGGAGTGCACCATATTGTTCAGAAAATATATTGACATCAGCAAAAAGACTTCGAAAGTAAAATATGACCATATTGTTCAGAATATCTTACAGATCTTAGTCCTGACAGAACAGTGGACACAGAAGCTAGTTTTAAACTTTTCTCTTGGTTGCTTGAGACCGAAACAAGAGTTGATTCATCCTGTGGAGCATATAGAAGGAACCATTTAAATACATATAATAACAGTGCATAGAACTCACGTTTTTCAGTACTTGTACAAATTCATCCATTAGAAATTCAAAAACTCAAACTCATTCGAAAACTACATTTTGCTAAAAAAAAACTCATTTGAAAACTATGTTCAGGTGGTAAGCCATGTTACGTCCTCTGCTCGGCGCTACTACTAAGTTTTGTTTGCCCATTTTCCGGATCAGTTCGTAAATTTCCACACTATCCATAGGCATTTTACTCCTCTAACCGGGACCTAACCGATGCTCAATAGACCATAGTGGAATGAAAAAATTACTCGGCTGCCGCAAATCTCCCTATATTTACTCCACCGCTCGACGACCGAGTAAAAAATCTCTCCCTCTCTTCCCCTCCTCTGCGTCCTCTTTTCTCCCCCTCGCCCCGTCGCCGGTGCGTCCCCCACCCTTCCCCGCCGCCCCTTCTCCTCCCAATGGTTGGACGCGGTGGCCGGAAGTCCCCGCTGCCGATCCGCAGTATGAACCGCGCCGCCACGCCCGCGGGTCATCGTCTAGCGGCGCATCCTCGAGCCGCCGCCACTCGCCTGATCCTCCTGCCCCCACCCGATTCGCCGACTCCCAGAGCTCCCCCCGCCGCGGCTGCCACAAAGGACCTACCTCTGCGTCCGGCAACACTCGTGGGGGACATGGGTGGCGGAGATCACCGACCGGGAGACCACAAGTGGGTCGGGTTGTTCCACATGGCGGAGCTCGCGGCAATGGAGTATGACCGGTGGCAAGTCCGCTTCCACGGCCGCGATACGAGGCTGAACTTCTTGTTCAGGACAGCGTCGATCCACCTCGTCCCGACGGAGCCGGGTGTGGTGAGCGCGGCGATGGTGAGGGAGCGCCTCGGGGCGGAGACCGCCGACGAGGCGTACATGGAGGGCCGCCACCACCAGCACCCAGAGCTCGTGGAGGCAGAGCGGGCAATATTCACCGACAATGCCAGGGATGTCATCGTCATCTCCCCCGACGAGGTACAAGGCGGCGAGGAGGGCAGCGAGTAGGAGGAGTTCGACGTCGAGGAGTGGCAGGGCATCTTTCCCGACTGTGACGGTGACGGAACCGACCCGGATCCATGTCTCACCGAGGGTGGCCTGTCGAGGAATGATTGGCTCGACCTCCACTACGGCTGATGAAGATGGGTAGTTTTTAGTGTAGTTTTAAGTTTAGTATAGTTTAAGTTTAAATTTATGTTCAATGTTCGGTTGTCAAGACTATCTATGTTGAACTTATATTTAGCTAGATGCACGCAAATTTTGATCGAAATTAGGTTGAATTTATGCAAATTTACATTTTACTCCGCTAAATTTAGGGGATCTGTTAGAACCGACCGAAACTTAGTGGAGTATAAATACTCCACTAAGGGTACTCAGCCGGATACTCCGCTATTTTTTAAGGGATCGGTCAGAAATGCCCTTATAACAGTAACAATTCAAATCAGCTGTAATTCGCTACCATATGAAATTAAAACAGATCATTCCAAACTGTTATAATGGCATACCAGAAATTAAAACAAATCATTCCAAACTGTTATAAGAGCATACCGGATAATAGAGATCTCAATTATTCTAACTAAACTACACAAGAGTGCGTCTTCTTTACAGCACATCACAAAAGAAAAAAAATTGTGGCTCCAGAGTGACAGTATTTTTGTTGCGCTCCATGTCTTGTGTTGACATGGAGTACAACAAAAACACAAACACTTCATCCATGTCAACACAAGACTTGCATCAGTTTGTCCAACATTAAGATGGAACACTTCATAACAACCCAACTCGCCGGAATTGCAACCAAATAAAAATGATAACTATATAAATCAGCCAACATCTGGACGTAAACTCAAGAGGATTAGTGCAGTTGGCAACCTAAACTCAAGAGGCTTAGTGCAGCGGTTGTTCCTAAGCCTCCTAGGTTGCTTCAGAGCACCCCGTATGTCTGGACATGTCGTTCTCTTATGCCCTTACTTTCGACAAATAGTACAGAACCAATTGTGGGCAGCATGTAAGGGACAATCAAAGATCTAAACAGAAGCAAACAATGAATCACTATCATAATCGGTCCAAAAACATCTGGTAGGTAGATCGTAAAACTGCCAAGATGCAATGTGACTGATAATCTTCCAAGTTGTCAGAATTATCGCTTCAGACATAGAGAACATAGGAGAGAAGCATTCAGTTTCATTATATGAATTCAATATAGGAAGCAGAGTATAGAAGGGCAAAACATAGTGCATGAAAAGTTTCTAGGAGGCAATTATCAGGTCCCAGGAGGCCATTTGGAACCTGCCCATCAATTGGCTCAAGCTTAGAAGTTGAACGCTAAAAAAGTGCAACTCCTTATAAGGACACACACTGCCAATCATGGTCAATTTCCACAAATGCACCAGCTACTATTCCATACATAAAGAAAATTGCAAAATAATAATTTATAAGCAGTCCGCAAAAGAGTAAACTTTGGCTCACTGATCCATAGGAGAAGTGTAGAACACAAGTAGCTACCTCCAACTGAAACCAATGCTAACAGTGGTTCTTATTTCTTACCAATGATGAGATGAGGCAAAGCTTTTGCCTCCGTTTCGAGAAAAAGAAAACAATGCATGGTGCACATCGCAGACACCAAACACGACCTACCTTAGTATCATTATCATGCATGACGCCGTAAAAGACAATGGATAATTGAACTCAACATTTATGTTCCTTTTATGTTGTAGAAGCTTACATGGAACAAAGGAAACAACATAAAACTAAACAGTAGCTAACTAGTGCAACTTAAATGAATAGAATAGTTAAAACAACATAGCTTATAGCTTAACAATTTGTAGTCGATAGACACACAAAGCTTGGTACTTGAACAAACAAACAACCACCTACTGAAAAACATAATAAGTAGATAGATATAACTGGGCAAAGGGTAAAATACCATACTTCATAGAATTCTTCTCTCATAATGTTCTGCAGCATAGCTGAGCACCAAGTTATCATAAGTTAAACAAGACTGATCAGTAGTTCAGGAGCAAGTTGACATGCCTGCATACTGTGTACAACTGATGCCATGTCACTGGTGAAAATTGAGCGCGCAGACCATATTTCTGCCAACTGGCAGAGATTTTAAGCAAGACAAAAAGAAAACTGAGCATTTCGCTGCAGCTCAAGTCCCTCGCAAACCACATCCATTTGATTCTAGTTGCAACAGAATGAAAGCAAATATTATTCTAGAGAGATAAACATGCATATATTAACAAAACATGTATGCATAGTGTGGCTGCTTAAGGTCAGGCAAGGAATACTTCCTACAGCATGACTTGCAAATTATTATAGCAGTATTTTAAGTAGAAATACACCATCTAGACTTGACTTATAAAACAGAGTAGATACACAGAGTCAAACATCTTACATAGCAGATCGATACAGAAGTAGGTTCACATCTTACATAGCTGATAAAATACTTGAGCACCATCGAACATATCCCTCTCATAGAATAACCTTTTTGGTGAAAGCACTGCTAATAATAGGTGACCAAGCAATGGTTATCTTCACCTTAGAGCCGTTGAGGTCACATTTATGTTTACTTATGCCGCAGTATTGAGGCCTGACCATGACAGCAGCTTGCACAGAACCACCAGGAGAGTAGGCTTCTACGACAACTTTCAGGGTTTCTTCCAATTCTTCAGAATCTTCACTCACTGTCCGTAATTCGAGAGAAACAACATGCCTTGACAGATCGAGGTAACCATCTTCTTCGCCTATTGGCATCTTCCCACCAGCACAATAACGAGAATCAAGCAACACAACTTGGGTGGGAGCGGCAGGGCCTTCACTACCCCTTACCACATCTTCCTGAGGTGGTGAGGAGCAAGCAACTCTGCCTCCATAACTGAAAGGGCTTTGACTGCCTTTAACAATGCCGACACGCAAGAAAGTGGCTTGTACTGCTCCACGATACAGTTTCTGCAGGCTTAACTCGGCTGTGCAAAGACAGTTGTCAAAGGTGACAGTATATAAACCATTATCGGTATGGTAACCACCGAAATGGCCTTTTCTATTGATCAGCACGCTGTCTTCAGACTCTGCGTGGCCGCCCTTGAGTTTTAGTTGGACTTCAAACTCAAGAGGGGATTCGGCTGAGATTGCACGAGATGGGCCAGTCAAGCACAGAAAGGGGTCCTGCAAGGGCCATCATTACACACACTGAATGAATTGCAACAAACCGATGGATCAACAAATTAAGAGACATGCATGCAAACAAAGAGGAGATAAAAGGAAAGCTAACAGAATACAGCAGGCGCTTACTTCTTGGGTGATCTCTTGGAAGTTGTCCCTTTGCCGGTGGAAGAGAACGTTGCGCTTGCGATCCACATTGTCTCGTGCGGCGACGACGCCGTACACTTTGAGTGGCCATTGCAGGAGTGGCCATTCCAGGTCCAAACTGATGTTGGCAATCTTGAAGGAGAAGATCTGCAAGGTGATCCCACGAGTAGTATAATCGGATGTCACCTGTCTGGGTGTGTAGTGTGTAAAGTGCATGGGGCTCACTAGGCCTGCACGCACAATTTTGTCAAGAAAAATTAGACTTGCTACAAGGAAGGAATCTGCATTGATAGGAATCATAGTGTAGTAATGAACTGGTGTTGGCAAAAAAAAAGTATATCTTACTTGTGTATCCAAAGTGTCCAACTTTAGATTCAAGGCCTTGAAGGTAGGAATCAAAGACCTCCTGATAATCCTCCATCTGCTTCCTTGCCTCCGTTCTCCTCCGGGGTCGTCTTGTTCTTGATCTGCTGATTTGATTTGCCTCCGTTCATCTTGTCCTTGTGAAGCTCCTCGTCCGCAACCTCGCCATACTTGAATTCCGTCATCTCTGCATCCACATGCCCGCCTCTGGCCGCCATGGACTCAATGGAAGTTTTGTCCTCCTCCACCTCCATCCTCTCGCCGATCTTGCCGTCCCTGGCAGCCATGGCCTCACTTTGATCCTCACAAAAAGTACTCGTAACCATTAAAATATCACACGTTTGAAAAATGTTTGAGCATTTAAAAAATGCTTAAGACATTTTAAGAATATCTCATGAAAATTAGGATTTTATTCGCACAATTTTATAAAATTATTCATGACATACTAAAAACATTGTGACATTCATAAAAAAATGTTCTTATCACTTAAAAATTATGCCACATGTTTAAAAAATCATGAAAAAGTAAAGATTTTACTCTTTATAGGAACATAAATAAATAAAGATTCTCCTCATATCTTCATTTTCCCTTCAAAATTTCTAATGTTTTCTGTTTTTCCATCTGGTACCATGTCACCACTTGTGCAGCTTTGAATAGGGCGAGGGATGAATCTTTGTACTATTGAAATGCAAGGGTTGAAAAGCGAGATACAACGCCCCTTGCCCATTCGTCTCGCTCGGGCGAACATGCGATTAAGGTTCCCATCCTTTCCTCAGCACTGTCACTGGTCTATCTCGTCTTCTGTGGCCTTAGGGCCATGAAGGCGTCGTGGATCGTGACTACTGCCGGCGAGAGGGCTCCTACTCCGTTTTAGGTGTTTCTTTAGTTGGTAGGGTGTGTGTCTTTCTCAAAAAGACAAAGCGGCGCCTCCCCGAAGATGCAGGTTCTTCCCGTCTAGCCCCCGCCCCAATATTGTGTTTAGCATCATTGGAGGGTGTGTGGAGATAAGTCTCCGGCGGATCTCGCGAAATTCGGTGGGTCTTTCTCTTTGGTGGATCTTCTTAGATCCGGTCTTCGTTCGTCAGCCTTCGTGTGTCTTAAAGTTGGATCCTTTCAATCTATGATGACTTCCGACCGTCTACTACAACAAGATTTGCCCGGCTCTGGTGACCGAGGCGATTATGGCGGCGCACCCACTACTGGAATTTCCTTATACATGTAGTGTCGGGCTCTTCGCCGAGAGCCAAACCACGGACACTCCGCAAACACATATACACCGAGAGTAGTACTAGGCAAACACAGGTTCCCGGCAACGAGGTGATATTGCCAAGAAGAAAACACGGTGAAGAAGGCACATCCAGCAAATGTCACAGATGCCGAGAGCACCACACGACAAAGAGATGCCCGTGGCATGTCCGTTTGCATGTGACGGCTTCATGACTTCCTGCTGTCTTTACCGAGAGCTAAAAAGGAACGCTCGGCAAACTACCTGTCACTGAAACATTCTGACATGGCAGGTGGACCCACTTGTCACTGAAATATTTCAAATTATTCAAAACAAAAACAAATCAAGTGAATCCAGAAACGTTTTCTTTGTCGAGAGCTATACAACCCCACTCGGTATAGCACCGTTGACTGGAACGTATTGACCTGACATGTGCTCCCGCGGGTCCCACCTGACAGGGGGTGCTCTCGGAAAAGAATGGCAACACTTGAGTGCTACCTTTACCTAGAGGAGTCTGTTCTCGGAAAAGAATAGCACTGCTGGAGTGCTACTTTTGCCGAGAGACGCCCTCGGAAAAGTTTGTCCTGACGATCAGGTGACCCCTCTTCCGAGTGGCCGGTCTCGACAAAGCCTATATTTCCGAGTGTTGTTCTCGGAAATATGTCCCGTTGCTTATTTTGTCAAGTTGTTTCTTATGTAGTCCCTGCAATTGAAAACAAATACATCATTTTATGCGGTATGCCTATAACTACAGTGCAGAACAACACATCTCATATCAAATTAATATGGGAGCTCCTACAAACTCAGTGAGCAATCATATACAAGTACACATAGCTAGGCTCGAGAGCTACTCTCGGTGAAGGCTCTTGAACTGGAGTAGGCTGCTATGTTAGCCGAGTTAAGCTCTCGGTAAAATGTGTCGACCTCTAGAACCTGACATCTTTACTCTCTAGAACCTGACATCTTTACTGAGAGCCGTGAAGGTCTCAGCAAACAAAATAAACTTTGTCGAGTAAGCTACCGGCAAAGCTTGGACGCGGCATAGGACGTGGGGCCCGCCTATCAGGTGGTGGACACATGGCAGCTCCCTACTTGTTTGCTTTGCCGAGAATAGCTCCCGACAAAGCACGAGTTCAGCGTAGGACATGGGACCGCCTGTTAGGTGGTGGACACATGGCAGTTTGCTATTCATTAGCTTTGCCGAGTTTGGCTCTCAGCAAAGCATGAACTAGACGAGGCCGTGGAACCCAGCCTATCAGTTGGTGGACACATGGCAGTTTCCTATTGGTTTTCTTTACCGAGCGTTGCTCTCGGCGTAGTCCGTGGGGCCCTCCTACAAGGTGGTGAACACGCAACGGTTTCCTATTCGTTTGATTTGCCGAGCACGGCTCCCGGCATACTCTGGGCTCGGCTTAGGCTGTGGGTCCGCCCTATCAGGTGATGGACACGTGGCGGCATTGTGCTTATTGTTGTTTGCCGAGAGGCTTTCCTTTGCTTTCAGCAAAGCTGTGCCACGTGGCAACCGCTGTCTCCTTTGTTGTCCGTGAATCAGTTTTATTTTGCCAAGACGCACTGATTGGCTCTCGATAAACAGTTTGCCGGGTGTCCGTTGGTTCTTGGCAATGTTCTGTTTGCCTGAGAGGCTGAGAGGTGTACGCCGGGTACTCTTTGCCGAGAACAATTCTCGGCAAAGACTTTGTCAAGTGCATTTGGCCATTTGCCGAGTATTTCTGGCACTCGGCGTTATGGCGTAGGGTGTAATTCCAGTTGTACCTTCGGCCCACTCCAGTGTGTAGTCGTCAATAGATGGTCTACGTACCTGGATATAATTTTTGTTACTTTTGGTATTTTTTGTACTGCCTTGACAGTGATGAATATATCAAAATTCCGGAAAAAGTAGGGAAAATTTACACCCATTTGGTAGCAAAGTATTTTTATAGTATTCTAATAATACTATAGTTATTCATATTATTGTAGTTTTATTTACAGCAGGCTGTTTGGCTCCGTCTAAAAACTGTAGTTTTAATACTAGAGTTGCCAAACCATAATATTTTCTCTGCATAATAAAAAGAACCCCAGACCTACTTTTTTTAAACTGAGCACGGTGAGAAAACGGGCACGTTTGCTTCCTTGTTCCCAAGTGGCACAACTCGATCCCCTCAATTCAGCTTCGCTGCATGGTGCGTCGTCGGCGCGGCCGTGGACTTTCCCGTGGTGACCCTCGACGGCCACGCTGAATATGGCCGAGTGTTACGTGCAGCCAGCAGCTTCGCTCCTGGTAGTTCAACTGTCTCCGCTTTTGGTAAGCTGGCTTTGTGCATGGCGGTTCAAGTTCATGTATGGGGCTGTTCGTTGGTTGTCCAAATGTGCAACGACTAGGGAGATTGACACGTGCATGCGTGTTTGCAACTGTGAATAGTTGCTAATTTGTAAGCAATAGCCAAACATGTTTGCAGTATTCTCAGTACTCTAGAAAACTTTTGTATGTCAAAACTGTGGTATCTTGTGCCTATAGGTTAAAATACTGTAGTTTTCAAATACTTTGGGTTTTCCAATAGAGTTACTTTGCTATCAAACAGGGCTAAGGGTCAAAATTGTCTTGTATTGTTTTTGATATAGTTTAGCATTCACTTCGCATGGTTTGTATTGAAGTTTTAGCCCAAAAAATTAAGTAGTTGAAGGGGGTGCGGTTTCTGTTATATGCGGCGACGTTGACGCCCTCCAAAAAGTTGCGACCTCGCCACTTGTGCGTGTCTTTGTGTTAAGCTCGGACCCGACTTAGTGGACGTCCAGAAAAAAAGGGAGATGTACAAGAAGCTTGAAATAATATCTTAGCTCTAGCTAGGTAGCTGTGTGGCAAATTGCGAATTATATGTATGCTTTTAAGTTGACAACGCTGCATCGATCATATCTATATCTACGGTGTGGTGTGGTGTGGTGTGGAGTGACTCACTCCCAGCGATCGAGTCGACTCGTGATTCTCTCTCTCTCTTCACTGTCACGTTGCTACTTATACTGCCTCTCGGGTCTCAAGACATGGCTAGTTTATCAAGCTTACCATACATGCATGACTAGCTTGACTTGCAAGAGAAAACTCAAATTAATCAGTACTTCCTCCGTCTCATAATGTAAAAACGTTTTTCCACTGAAAAACGTTCTTACATTGTGGGACGGAAGGAGTAACATATGTAGAAGTTGCCTTGATGCAACAACCTGATTCTTTGTGTGCACTGCCACACTGCTAATATTGTTCTCAACTTCTCAAGATATATATGGCTAATTAATCATTCAAGATTACTTGAACAATGAAAATATGTATGCAGCTTGACTTGCATGGGAAATTCAAATTAATTAGCTTATATATATATAGCTTGCCTTTCTTGCAACAACCTTGTCACCTTCTTCCACCTCCCAATCAGGCAATCACTACTAGTAACGTTACATGGTGCAAGTAAAAATACTATAGCATGCATCGCAGAGCCGATGGAGCTAGACTGCATGCATGCAGCAGGCAGCCATGGCATGCATGCATGCAAAGACTAGTAATAGCAGTAGAGAGAG